ATCATCATCAATGTACATGCTCGATAGAATGTAGGGTCTGTAGAAAGTCACTGAAATTATATTAGTCAATGAAGTGGGTATTGATTCAAGAATTAATGATAAAATTATATACAAAACATGATTAAATTAATCATTTTATTAAATTGATTAAAATACTGGATTAGCTGTTCAATTGAACAGTTTTTTTTTTAATTGCGGCACTCTATTATGGCTTGTGGTAAAAATGGTTGGTGTGGAGCCTACTCTACGATGCAAAAATTAAAATACTGTAAATGTAAGTCCCGCAATTAAAAAAGGCAAGTGTAATCTATAATGAAATAACAAATTTAGTTTACAAAAATTGTGAAAACCGAGGTGTTGAACTGAAAGGTTTTTGTTATTTAGAATTTTATTATGCACGGACTAATGAATATTAAAATAAAATAATTTCTTACTCACGTTTCTTTTAACATGCACAGGTAATATCAAAATTTTTAATGTTAACAGAGATAGGTAAGGAATAGGTTAATTAATTTGGCCTTGTCTAGTTTAGTTACTTAGTTCATGTCTCTGCTGTCTGGCTTACGGCTTCGATCTGTTGCTTGTTTTTGTCTCTTGAAACCTTTTCTTTTTTTCTTTTAAATTTTTCAGTGGAAACTATTGAAACCTTTTCCTTTTAATGAACATATCTGCTTTACTGATAATAAAAGAGAAATGCATGATAATAATTTGTTACATGAAATAGAATATTTATATTTTTAGCATACGTAAAAGTAACAAATTGCAAAAAAATAACTAATTTCTTATACACAGAGTGCATCGAGTAATAAGTTATAAAATAAGATATGCTGTTTAACTATTTAATATGTATGTGATGCCAAATTGTTTTAGATTTTTAATTTACTTATATATAACAATGTATGCGAGAATAACCCATCTTAAAACAACCACTAATTTTTAATATTCCCGTAGTCCCGGGTGTTAATTATAATTCATATGTATAATTATATATGGTTAGAAGAGCTTGAAAATGTTGTTCATTTCTATTTAATTTTAACAAACAGATCTCTTTATTTAATTTTCAAGGAATAATAAAATTTTTGATATTAGGATAAATATACTCCACGGGAAATCAGTCATAATTTTAAGTTCTCTTTAAACTACGCCGCCGGAAAAACATGTCGGGAACTAAAAGAATTGTTGTCAACTCGGAAATGTGAACAATTGTCAACCTGTCTCTGATCTGTTTCTGCTTTCTCAGACAAAGCTCCAAAGCAAAAGGATTCTCAGAGCTGCAAAAAGCCATGGCGGTGCAATTGTATAAGCAACCTAACCGCTTACTTTTCTGTTTTATTTTCCGCAAATCCCTTCTCTTCTTCTTACGTTCAAGTCTAACACATGCATGCGTATCCTATGTTTCTCTTTCTAGTGTACGCTGAGCTTTTTATTCTTTTCAAGAAAAAAAAAACAAATATATATATATATATATATATATATATAAAGTGGCGAAGCCACGTTGAACTCGGGCGGCAAATGCACCCCTGACTTGGGTGTAATTCAATGTGAGTAATGAGCTATTAATGCTTTGCACCATTTAATTATAAAACCTTGAACAGTGTGTGATGAGGGGGAGGGAGAAATTAGGAAGAGTTGAACGTTAAAAATCTTGTCAGGTAGGGATGAGAAATTAAAAACACATAAAGGTCTTATGTACCATTAATGTTTTGTATTCATTCTATAAAATACTCTTTATTTTTTATTAAAAAATGGAAATACATCATTTTATAAGTAGGTTGTGTAAAAGATTTAATCTTTTACATCTCCTGTGCTATACGTGGTTCGTTTGTATAGCGCTTATCCTTGACATTTTATACAACTTGCAGTTATTATTTAAAGTCACCTACTCTTGATTTATATTTAAATATATTTTATTTAAATAGTTTTTTATATATAAATTGTAAACTTTAAACATAAATTGTAAACTCACTAATATTAAATATGCCTTTTTTTTGTCATTTTCATATATCAAATCCAAATTTTTCACAACAAATTTTTAAAAATTATTTATTTTTTATTTCATATTCAATTTTTTTAAACATAAAATCATAATTATAATATATAAATTTAAATTTTTAATTATTAATTTTTTTAAAATTATTTATTTTTAATTATGTTGTACCGGGGTTCTGATTCTGCCACTGTGTGTGTATATATATAGATATAATTATACATAAATGAGTATGAACTCTAAGAAGTTGCGTGGAGATTTAAAAGAGCAAGTTGTTAAGAAAATTCGCATAATAATGAATAAAAAAGTAGTGCACGCGTAGGAAAGAACGAAGCATAATTAGCGGGAACCAACGCACGCAAGTAGCATAGCTACCTTCCTAACTGTGCATGCTTGTCCCGTCACAGACTGCAAATCAAAACACCCTTTTTTTCTTTTCATCTCTTTCTTTCCCCTTCATGATCACATTCATCGCCAAGCTCTCTTCTATTCTTCTTAGCCCCAAGAAAAAGAAAACAAGCTGCAATTATAATATTTGAAAAAAAAAAAAAAGATTCTTTGAGGGAGGGAAGAACAAATTTGAAGTCTGCTGTGTGAATGGTAAACCTGACTTGACTTGAGCCACAAGTTTCGGGTGTCTTTTTCAGGCAAGTTGACAAATGAGGGTCCCACATTATCCCCATACCTTCCTTGCTGCTCAGAATATATTGAGCTGCAAATGTTAAATCAGTCCTTTTCTTATTTAAGATAGGAAGATGCATCACCCGAAAAAAGAACGTCGGATAAATCCGAAGAATTGAACGAAAAAGTTGGTTTGATAGTTATCTGGTGTTAAAACTTAATGGGGCCATCGATGATCTAAAACAAAGGCGCTGGGGCACTATCTGTTTGATGATATGATATAATTAAGGTTGGAGTAAGTGTAAGCGCAAGAATTGGTTAAATTGAATTGGTATTTAGAAACGCAAACATATGCATAATTATAAAGTACGTATTGGGGGGGGGGGGGAGTGTGTGTGTGTTTGTGTGCAGCGACACATAGAATGATGAAAGGGCAGCATGTGGGTGGGGCCAGAAAGTATGCCGTATACGCAGGGATCAGCCATACCCGCGGCTTCGGCTTCTTATTCATCATTTCAGTACCCATCCCTCTGTTCACAAGACTTTCAGCTGCAGTACGACTGCTCTGAAGCTTTCACTATTCGTCAACAATTATAAATTGATAAACGTATTTATAACTCATTTAATTATGTTCCCCGATTTTATTTAATACTCTGTTAGTTAATATCTTTTCAACGTAAACCAGAGGCATAGTCTGTATAAAATTGTTCATATACCGCGCCATGTATGAGATGCTCTATTAATATATTTATTGATATTGACGACGACGACGACGGTTTGTGTCAGTAACTTCATATATATGTGACAGCACTGTGGATTGTGTTGCCATCATTACATTTGTATTCATTGCTCAAAGAAAACGCACGACCCCTCTGCAAAGTCAACCCAATCGCGCCATGCTTGCTCCTTCAGATCTGCTTGTACGACACCCTTTTGTGAACAAAATTAAAACAATGCCTAAATTATTGATCACCCTACCCCTCCTTATTGAGAACTAATTAGGAACCTTTTTTAAGGAACGAGAACGATGGAGCAAGGACATGTATGTGGGATCGAATAGGCAAGTACCAAATCAGGATTCCAGATTTGTGAATAAAAATAACCCCACATCTCCCATACCAAATCATGAAATATACCTCTATCTGCATGGTTCATGCAAACTGCCAACAAACCCACACCTTTTTAATTTTCTTCTCCTCATTTTAGGACGTGAAAAACCCAAAGGACAGAGGTGATGGATAATTTGTTACTTGATTGCATAAATACAATGAGATAATAAAAATGAATGTAGATTAAATTATGGCAATGCCCTCAATATAAAAATATACCAATTATTAATAATAATGAAATGTATTTGAACATTAAATATTTTTTATTACCATTATTAAAAAAGCATGCTCAAATTTGTAATATTAATGATTCAAAATAAATATATAAAATAATTATTTACTTTGACATATTTTTGCATCCCCTTTTTAAATAGGCATGTATTTACATTCAAGTTACGAGAGGTCACGTGACGCTACAGATTTGGATTCCATGCTTAGAGCAAATCCACACACCCAATGCATGGCGACATGTGGCAAATTTACAAGCGTAAGATCAAATTAACGGTCAAAGGTAGACGCACATGAGAGGAGTAAGAGAACTAGTGAGTATTTTCACGTATTGGTACTTTATTTTCTTCTTTCTGGAACCACCCTTGATCAGGATGAAGAAGATGAAGCGATTAATCTAAAGTGAATTAGCAAGACGAAGCAATATGGGTAATATGGTTTTGGTTTTGGATCCATGCTTCAATTCTGAAGTGTTATTATTAGGTTTTGAACTCTATCTTCTCGCTTCACAATTTCTTTCTCTCAGAAACCTTAGAGTTGTGTTTTCAGGTTATTCAATAATGGACTTTATTTTTTGGATTGCGTTAAAGACAACGAGAAACCAAGTATTTTGAATTATAATGACATAGTATTTTCAAGAATACACCCCATTACGCAGAATTTGTATTATAGCAGAGGTTATATAGGTTTCAATTTAAAATAAAAAAATTCAAATTAAAAAATCACGTATGGAACCGAAATCGTCTCTCTCATTCTCATGGAATCTCCCAAATATTTGAAGAATAAGGAAGTAGTATCCAAATTTCAGTTTGTTGTGGGATCAAATCTTTCAAGCTCGTGAATGAAAACGAGTGAAAATGAGAGCGCCTGCTCAAGTCCCTCTCATGTGGATTTGCCTCTGACCGCTAACTCACTCATACCTTCATATTTTTCATGTGTCGCCATGCATTGGGTGCGGGGATTTGCTCCGGGCATGGAATCCAAATCCTGTACGGGACACTCATAATAAACATTTAACTAACGCGTAATGGAGACGTGAGAGCACTTGCTCAAGATTACAGAAAAAATTTCTTTTGATGCATCATAGCTTGTTTCACTTTATTTGTTTTCAACAAGACAGACCAACGTTACGAGTTTTTCAAGGTCATGATCGAGACCCAAAAGGCAAATTTGAGAGATAAGTTATTAACAAGAGCACTTTACGTACTGCATCTGCATCCCTAATTATTTACTCCATAAAAGTCAGCCCGTTCTTTCCCGTGACTTTATACACGAAGCACCATAATTTTTATCGCTAAAATGGTTAGATCCTAGTCCCTGAAAATAGTTAGTCTCCCTACTAATAATACTATTGCTACGGCTATTACCTAACTTCCTAACATGTATATTTGTGTTAGAACGCAAAAGAGTAACTCCCCTTTCAGTATCCGCCACTCTGTTAACACCCGTATAATCTCTGTACAATGGACTACCTGCCTCCAAACTGGAACCAGCAGGAGTACGCAACCCATTGATGTCTGGAAAACCTGAGCCATATCGGACCTTATCAGATAGGGGAGAATGTCTCAAGTTCAAGGGTGAGGATGACGATGAGGAGCTCGAGTCAGAATCAGAATTCTTCCATGTGTTGTTCCAGCTACAACCTGATTCGCCAAAAATGTATTCGGAGAAGTCATCGGTGCTGGTTGAGTACCGGGTGCTGTCAGTGCTGCAAGAACCTTCATCAGAATTGGTACTGATAAGGGACGAGTTATCACTTGATGAATCATCTACCAGAATCCTTTTCAAGTGGTGAAACTTTGAATTGAAAGGGTCTAAGGTGGGTGAGCCATTGGGAGAAACTGAGCTTGGAAAATATTCGGCAGCAACAGAATTTGTGGGCACATATCTGGATTTCATTATCGTAATCTTTCCATTGGCAGCTTTACTCTTTGAATCATTAGAAATTGTATTCCTAATCAACCTTGGGGCCCTTGGTGAGCACCTAGCAGGTGATTCAGTTGATCAGAAAAAATTATAAGCAGCCTCGACGACAAAAAATAATAGACTGGAAGATCGGTTACCTTGCGTACAGAAGCATGTACGCTCCTTTTGTCAAGACTCGCTCCAATTCAACCGCTGTCACCTAAAAAAACATAAAACAATCAAGTAGTCAAGTTATCCAAATAGCAGCAGCAGCAAAATCGACAATAAAAAAAAAAGACTTTGTTTTCCATTGATTAACTTCACACACATGCAGAAACACTGCAAGTCTTAAAATTCATGTTCTTAGCAGTAGCAACTGAACTATAAACAAGTCCAGTGGATTGCTAACATCAGATCTGAATGCACATATTCAAGAGATCGTTTGGTTCATGTAGTCACACTTCTAGGAAAGTTAACTTCCCAAAAACTATATTTTTTTCGAATAAAACTGAAATGCATTCACTAAATGAATAAAAAAATAAATATACTTATTTTTAATGTTGAAGACATAAATATCACTTGTTTTATGTTTAGGAAGTTTAATTGTGAGAGGTATTTTTGGAAGGGAAAGGCTTACATACTTGGCCTCATACTTAATATACTTTTAAGCAATCAAATTAGAACAAAAGGATTTTAACATATTATTAATATTAACAAGAGTTTATTATATAATAAATAATGTATAAAAAATTCACACATCTTGATTGGATTGGAAACACGCATATTAAGTACATGAGACTAGGTGTCTAAGTTTTATCCCTTTTGGAATATTAATATAAAATACTTGGAGAGCGCAACTTTTCCAAGGTTTACTCAAGAAGTTATTTCCCAAATTCTCGGAGAAGCTGGGCCTCCAAGTTCAAAAGAACAACTAATATTTTTTTTATACAAACAAAAGTAAATCATCTATTTCCTGATAAGTTTTACTTCTCCCCCTAACGTCCTCTATACCAAACAACTCCTAAGGTTCTTGATTTTCCATTTTTACCGCAAGGTTCTCAATTTTCCTTCCGGCCTGTGAATTGAATCAGGAGGCTCGACCAGAGTCAATGAGAAGGTACATAAGACAACTTTGGAAGAGACATGTTCACCCAGAGAACTTGAACACACTTTCAATCCTCAGGGTGAAATCTTCAAAGTAACTGCTCCACAATGCTAATGTACAGTCTATTCACACTTAATAGAGCACTAGTGTTAACTGTCAATTATATTCCCACAGGACCAAATATCATCTTTAGTTAATTTTTGATGTTGATTATTAATAATGTCCAAACAGCTTTCCTGGAGAATGCAAGCAAGCAGAAAGACGGGTTGTGAGCTGATAAGCAGGATCACAGAACTTCTAAGAATAATAAATCCAAGGGAGGAAAAAAAGTTCTAAACTAGCTGCAGAACAAAAGATATCAAAACTAAAGGAAATTGGGACATACCACACTGTCATCAACCTTGAACCACTTATTTTGGCTATTCTTCACATAGCACACATAGTGGCCCGAAAAGGCAGCATTCATAATATCCAAGTGAACAACTACCCCATACAGCCTGTATATAGGTGACTTATCACTAGTCCCACTCATAAAAGGGGCCAAGTCAAGTATTTCAGGAAATCGAATGGGCTTGTTGAGCTTCCCAAATTTTCCAGACTGCAGCAACACATCTAACAAATGTTAAAAAGCCTCGTACACCAAAAAAAAAAAAAGATATAAAAATGCAACAAGATAGTAACATCTCATTTTTGAGTTCAACAAATGAAATACCTGAAATCTCTTTAATGCAATTGTAAGAATATTTGGGGCCTCCGACACTGTCAACTTCTTCTTGGCATTCTCATAAGATTTACACCTGCTTAACATGAAAATAGTCAATTATCAATTAATAACAAAATAATATAATGTGTAACTGCTTAGAATGCTAAAACTCAAACAGACAAGGATGGTTGACGCCAAAGTTGTAGTATTCTAAATTATATGCCAAAGTCTGCTGCACACCAAGACAAAATTTGCCTGGATGAGAAGCAAGACGACTATAATTTTATTAGGCGTGGCCCCAAAGGCAAGGAGGAGTGAGAGCACAATGTATTCAAAAAATAACGAAAAAATAAAAATTATTCTGAAAAATGGCAACTTCTAGATGCAGGTCCAATTGCAAGATGACAAATTTCTGATGATGACCCCCCTTAGCAATGAAAATGAGAATCAGCAGAGAAAATGAAAATCATGCAAATAAATTTTGAACCATTCAGACCTTGGGCTACCAAAGCATAATTTCAAGTAATGGCACTGATTGTGCCAAAGGATCCATTAATCTCAGCAAAGATGGTGATAGGGCAATAGCAGTAGCCCTTAGCAGAGCTGCAAAAAGGCATGCAAAAACTATTCTAACTCTCAGATGAGGATTGGGAAAGTGCTCTAGCATGAAAACCCATGCATAACCTTAATTAGACCCAATATCAAAGAACATTTCGTGTCTAAAAAAGCTGTTATTAAGTTCCATCAAACAGCTGTTGTTTTCCTACAGCATAAGGCGCTTTTGGTAATTTTCTCCAACTTTCATCAAATACCTGTGGTCCCTCATTCAAGGAATTGCCTGGACATAAGTAATAATATATGGTCTTATTATGAGGTTTTAATTTTCAACCTCAATTGTTGGCCAATCATTAGTATTAACAGGAAGTCCTCATTCTGATAGGTACTAGCAGGATAAGTTTCGCTGACACTCATTCATAATGGCATAAAGTAAGGTACGATTATGAGAATAACTGTTTGAATTACTCTTTCCTTAGCATCTGATCAAACCTCAGAAGGGACTACTCAACAAAAGGCCTAAGCATGAAAGTTTTCAATTTAATGCCAAATCCACATCGTTCAATTTAAAGCCATGCTGAAATAATCACCCCTAAGCAGATGTCACAGGAAAAAAAAATCATCCAAAACCCTCAACCCTCAATTGCTCTTTCTTTCTTGAATCTACCCCACAAACCATCAAAACCTTGGCTTTGCAGGTGCAGTTCAAAGCACCCAAGAAGCAATTATTTGGATCCTTAATCACCAATGAGTGCTTACAAAATGCCCTCAATCCCACCATCTTTACACTTTCATAAATCTTAAAATTGGATCCCATTCTAATAGACCTTAGTAATTCTGATCAGATTCCACATCAGTGTTTCTTCCTCCCAAAGGCTTGTACATTCAAGACAGAAATGAAGAAGAAAGAAACAGAACAATTTCCAAACTAGAAGCCAAACGTAACACTTAATGTCAAACCAGTAAACTCCAGCAATTTTTCAAGTGATTACCAGTAAACCATAATAATCAATCATGAAGCTTCAATATGATAGCAGCCTAAGCATATGATAAATAGATAGTATTAAAGAGTTTAGAAACTCAAGAATCAAAAAACCTGACACAATGATACTTGTTTTCTCCTTCTAGAGACTCAGTGCTAGTAAATTGCCGTAGAGCCTCCTCCAGGGTTGTTATCTCCCCTTCTATTGCAACGGTTAGATCCATCATTCTTTCCTGACGCTCAGACTTCCCGCCACATCTCATGCATTTTATCTGTCAACATATTATCAGATTTTCATCATACTTGCTGCTTGTACCAAAGGATGATAGAAATATAGGAATAATAGCATTATCTGTATCATTAACAGGCCCCCACAGTGTTGCATTCAATGGAAGGGGGGGTGCTTCACATAGTTTTATAATATTCTTTTCAGATAAAATTATAATGTGAATAGTGCATAACCTTTGAACGAAGGTAACCTCCAAATGTTAGACCCATTAAAGTTGTTTCCTCTTCTGATGAGCCTGATGCATTAAGACCAGCTTCCGCTAGACAAACCAATTGCATGGTGTCAATAGCACTCCTGTCAAATATAGCATTACAGCTCATTAAGGATGAATACAAAACAAGGACTATGCTAAAAAATTCATAATATTTTTCAATATGTAAAGGCAAACCTTAAAAACTCATGTGCATCTTCTTCTCTCCCATTGCCAAGTCGACTACCAATATTTTGTAATTGGGAAAGAATACCTTTCGGTGAGAGTGCAGATTTTGTGCCTTTTGACTTCAAAACTAAACTTTCAAACTCACAGGTGAAACACCCTTTCTTATTAGCACCTGAGCAGACAAGAAAAATTCAATCCAATGCAACAATTATTATAGATTGTAGTAAGACTTTTGGCACATAAGGAAACTGTGATTTCAAACGTACATGCTTTAGAATGAAGTCCTTGAAGTAAATAAGCAGTAAGGGGAGGTGTAAAAGCTAAGCACTGGAGTACAGCGTTAGCATAACAGCTGCGGACAAGGGACACAAGTATGTTAAGAAGGTGGCAGGGGTAAATTCTTCACTGTAGAAACGTAATATCAAATGGATGGCAAAATTCTGTAACCTGACCACTGATATCAACTAACCAATTAACCATAGAGAAAAAATATGTAAAGCATAAAACTTCAGCTATACCATCAATTTGTTATAAGTCCATGCACAAGCAAGCAGCTTTCAAAAAGATTTATCAAACACAAAACACATCAAATTACCTGTTTCCGCAATTTACAAGACCAAATGGTTGCAACTCTGCCTTGTTCCAGTTATAAAGCTTGACAAACAAGTCATATGAAAAAAGACCCTGCAATAACTACCAGACCATGTAAGTATACATGCAATCAGCAGCAAAACAAATACCAAGTTGTGATCATGAAAAACCTTGTCACTGTATCTTCCAGTAACATCACTCCCAACAGCTAGTGGCAATCGTTTTGATGAATTTGATCCTTTGAACTGATCAACAACTTTCAACATAGATGTTTTCAAGCCATTCTTCGGAGTTGGTGATCGGCTAGCAACTTGAGATGAAGTAGTGATCCTGGGTTGAACAGCATTATTCCCAGATATTGTACTGGAATGTGCATAATTTTTAGTTCTAGATTCTAAATGAGCATCAGCATATGGACTTGGCATATATCTCACTTCAACAGACTCCAATTGATGTGATGCACTATCAGGGTCAACCAGAATGTTATTTGATGCCTTAGAGCCTGCTGATTGCAAGTTGCTGATGCTTGAAGAATCTGCAAAACCTGATTTTTTACCAACACTAGAAGAGTGATGGACAAAAGATGAAGGCGACCCACAATTATCTTTCCTCATAAAGCTTGGACTGTTGGACCCTTTGTGGTCTAAAGATGTGGAAATTTGCCTCTTCAAAGAATCCATACTGTCATTCTCTGATAATGCTGACCCTGCACTTGCCATATTCCCAGCAGAGTTTAGAACACAATTGTCAGCAGCTGAATCTTCTTCCTCTTGACCTTGTACATGCATGGGAGGCAAGATATTGACTGAAACACAAATTGAAGAGCCACATCCAGGTTTCTGATGGTCAGTGGATTCATCAGAGTGAGATGGAAGCAGTTCATTTTTTGCATCGCCGTTAGTCCCTTCGGAATCAAGAGTTTTATCCCAAAAACCAGAAGACACAGTATGATGCTCGATTGTTACTTCCTGACCCACACTCAAACATGAAGAACCATTCTTCGCAAGCTTACCCTTTTCTTTACTAAAACTAGGTCTAGTTTGATTTAAATTACGCATACTAGAAAAGCCATCTATTGCATCAACTGAATTAGCAAACTTTGGCAATGATGGCATGGTCATATCCATGCTATTATCACTTGAATTGGCATCATGCATATCGAGGGCAGGATCAGCAAAAATATGTCCTTCTGATCTCTCTGGCTCACTTGAAACGACACTCTCACATACAGAGGCGTCATCAGATGATTCGCTAGCAACAGTAGAAGATGAGAATCCAGAAAATGAGTTACTAGACAATTCAGAATTAGAATCTGTTATATTTCCAGCTGCAAGAGGCTCAAAACTATTGATATCATCCTTTCCACATGTGACCTCAGGAGAATTGATTCCAGACAGTGGGGTTTTCTTAGAGACTGTTTCACACCTTGTACCTTCAACCTCAGACTTCTCTTCAAGAATTCTACAGCGGTCTTTCTCTGCTACCATATGGTCATCAAACACATCATCATCCTGGCATGTTGTGCTGGGAGGATGACATTCTTCTTTGTGGCCTTGACGCCAATGAATGATTTGGCACTTACCCGAACTATAATACATGATACCGAATGAGGAAAAATTAAAATACACATCATAAAAGAATAATAATTTAGAAACCAAGTGATGTTCCCTATTGCTGTCAATCTAATCAAACAAATCACAAATGTCAAGAACAAATAGAGTCATCATACCCACATCCAAACGTAAATAATATCAATTTTAGAAAAACTTATAAGAAACGCCTTCTTTTCCAAATGTATTGAACATGGAATTAAAAAAAAAACTTTTTGAAGAGTTACAACAGGATCATTATTCTCAGGAGCAACAGCCATCAATATATAAAGAGACATAACCTATTCGTATGTATGGTGATACGCACAGAAATGGATTACAGCGGCAGACCCACTGAAGCGATCAGCTAACAAATGCAAGCCAAACATTCGGATTATGTTTGTTTTCTTAATGTTAATAAGCAAATAAAGACTTAATATATTGGGGTTTAGAAATGGCATGAAATTCACTCCATTTTCGCGTCAGGATTCCACCCAACAATGCATTATTACTCTATGATCTGAACCAGAGGGAAAGAAATTGGAAATCAGACAAACAGTGCAGCAATAAATAAAGGCTACTAAATAGCAACTCATGATCATGAGAATCTGAACGATAAAACTCCAAAAGCGACCAGATTCCATAGAATGGAAAGAGAAACTTGATTGATTTAAGAAACTTAATGATCGAGGCAACAAATTAAAAATTGAACTAGCAGACGGCAGATGAAATCGACGCTACATACCAGTAGCGAACTGCTTTGCATCTGGAACACCGGGTAGTGGTAGGGGAATAACACACTACGCATTGATTGATCTTGGGAGCAGAAAATGTAGCGTAGGCATACGAAGCCTCACTCTCGGCCCGAGCTGCCTCCTCGGCGGCCAAAATCAGAAGCCTCTTGATTTCCTCCTGCCTGGCCAAGGCGAATTGCCATTTCCGGTGAATTACGAACCCGATCACCGGCACGACGAAACATACCACCACAAGGACCAGGCTCGAAAACCCTAGATCCTCGGTGACACGCATTTATCCTGCACCCAACAAACATCCAACGAAAGCAACAAACCCTAAACTCCTAATTTCACCACCAAACATAGATGGATTCAGCGGCGGCAGTGGCGAAACAAACTGCAAAAACAACCAGGCGGCCAAACAACCAGAAACCTTTCTGGTGATGTTACCGGAACGAAGGTGGGGCAGACTGCGCCAGCCAGACTAGCGAGAAAAGCCAATTCTTTGCAGGGGAGAAAGGCACTAAGTTGCTTGCTTTTGCCGAATCCGACGATGCAAGGAACAGAAGCAAATATTAAAACCCAACAAGGTCCGATTCGGACAAAGCTGAACCTTGATTTGTTTGTTACCTTTTCCGATCAGATGTTTCTTTCAGGAAGGAAATAGAACGGGGGTAAAGCTTCGTGGGGTTATTAAATAGGAATAATTAAATCCCTTTTAACTGAAATAGGATCACAGGAATAAGGAATTGCTTGTGTGGGGCGTGGGAAAGGAATTTCGTGTTTTTTTTTTTTTTTGCCCGGGACAGAAAAAGGAATTTCGTTGGGACGCATGGGAAGTCGTGCAGCCGTCGCCCATGAAATATTCGGACCGGACTCAACGGTGGTTTTTCAGCCACGATCCGGACTGTTTAATGACCGGCTCGATTCTTTGCGGGAGATATTGGAATTGGTGACTCGGAAGGTTGCCGGGGCAGGGCATGTGAGAGTGGGGCCCTCTAAGGTACGAAGTGTTTGACATGACAGATTCTGTGAGTGAATTGGCGAGAAATTCTGGGTGGTACTTAGCTTTTTTCCATTACCCATCCTCCCCATTTTCTGACCTAAAACAAAATTTAATCCGTCCAGATTTTATTCAAATTAAATTTAAATAGTTCAAATATAAAATTTTTATTTTTTATTTACATTTACTTTTTATATTTACAAAAAATTTTAATAAATTTATTTTATTATCAATCAAAATAATTCAGATTTAATTTAAAAAATTTAAAAATTATAAAATACAAAGTATAAATATAGATAAAAAATAAAAAATTTAAATTTAAGCCATCCAAATAGATTAAATTTAAATGGCCCAAATTTTATTTAAATTAAAATTAAATAGTTCAGATTTTATTTTAAGTTAGTAAAGAGGAATGGAGAGAGAGAATAGTGAAGATAAGTCAAGTTTCTCTACATGCATCATATCATTTATCGTCTGTTCAATTGCAATATCCTGAGTTATCTAAATAAAATATTATATAAAATTATTTTAATTAATTTTATTCTCATAACAAAATGTATATTTAATTTCTTTTATTTTTTCTCTTTAATATCATTAATATTAATATCAATTTATATTTAGTGTAATTTAAATATTATATTTTTATTAAATAGATTATAAATAATGTGTTGCATCTTATCTATGCAAGAATTTCTCGTGAATTAGCTTGAGTTTTCAATTTTATTCCATGTGTTCACTTTTTGTTGATTTTAATTTGATTACCTAGCATTAAGAATTATAAGGCTGCGATTGGCGCCAAGCGGCCAGATCCTGACGTTTGTGTGGATAGTGTATTATTCACTGAGGAGTATGAGTGGAAGCTTGGAAGCTAAGAGTTAGGCTGATCATCAAGCAAATTATAACGATCACATCGCGACGAGTAGTTAAAAACTAACCGTGGGTCATAATGGTAGCATCTTTTTAAGGTAACCTGGATTGATTAACGCTGAACAAGGACGTAATTCCCGCTGAGGGAATACTTTAGTTGGACATGTGCCATCAGAGAAAATACTACAAATTTGGGGTAAAATATTAATATGTAATCGACAAAAGACAAAACTTAACAAATATTACCTTCTCTCGAATCTTGGTTGATTAACCATCCATTATTGAGCTAAATAGAAGACGCTCAACTTCAGACAATATATTGAGTTCTAGTTTGACTGATGAAAGTGACCATACCATGAAATCCATCTTGTTTTAAAAGCTTGGCGGTGCTTAAATTTAAATTAACTGATGATATCAAAAAAAACATATTAATTTTTTGGCCAAAAGACTTGGTCACTCTTATAAAAAATATTCTAAGGATGCCGTTGTCACTTTCATTCTTTCTTTCTTTTTTTTTTTTTTTGATGTTGTCACTTTCAACGTTGGTGTTTTTGGGAGAAAAAAGTTATATTCAATCTCTTTTCAAATAATTTGTTATTGCTCTCAAAATATGCCTATTTTATTTCAGTATGCAGCTCAAGATTCTAGACTCTAGAGTCGACATTTTTTCACCCTCGTGCTTACGTGCAGATTGAATTCAAAGCTCAGTTAACTTAAGATTCAAAAAATTGTTATTTGGCGAGAATTGTATGGTGTTTTATTAGTCTAATAGTCTCGTCAAAGACACGGGCGAGGATGATGGTTTCCGAGTTAGACTTCGCAGTTAAGGGATACCAACGCTTCAACTAATTTTTGAACAAGAAAATACACATATTTAGCATTTGTGTGTACATGCATTGGGCAATTTTTTCAATGCGCGTCAAATAATTAGTGGGGTGTTTGGTGTGACGAGCGAGGTGGGAAACAGGCAACGATCATGGATGGTAACAGGACAAGGTACAGTAATCATGACGTCTGATTTTGATCGGTAATTCCCAAATGCCCTGTTTGGCAGATAGGAATGGTTTTTTAACCATTGGTTTTTTGCATGAAAAAAATTGTCATGAATTATAAATTAACAACATAAACAAACTCGCGCGGAGCCTAACACAACAATACTTAATGTTAACGTAACTCTAATCCAAACGCTTATGTAACGCTATTGTCAGTATAATCTTCCATCGCCGCTAATAGATGATGTATTAATATATCTGTTTCAAGTTCAACAGTAAATAACAGGATTCACTGAGAATTTGCCGCCTGTGCCGTCGTGGGCGCGAGGCCGCATCAGGCATGTATAACCCTGGCTTTTGATCTCAATGAAAAGACACTGGACGTTGCTATGCGTGAATTAAACTGATAATAATCAATGCTACATCTGAGCATATGGAATCAAATCAAAACCACGTGTATACATTTTTTCTTGGTAGATAGTTATTAAGACGGGGACTGGTGATCCGTTTTTAAGAGCCGTGGTCTTCGAATGAAATGAGTGAGACTTGACCAGCGAGTGACCAGTGAAAAAACCAATATTTCAATATTGGACGGCGCAGAGAAATTTAGCATCGGGCATAGCTAATTAGGATGCAGCTGCACCAGGCCGAGTCAACACCCTGAGGGGGACAATCCTCTAAAGTATTTTATTTAAAAATAAATAAATAATTCTAAAATTCACCCTTTATCAAAAAATCAAAATATAATTAATTTTAATGTAAACAAATAAAATTATCCTTCATTTAAAAAAATTCTCAATATCACAGGCGGAGCCGTTGGAGCTTTCGTATTTATTAGTAGTGTGAAAATATGCAAAAAAGAATCAGATACAAACAAAACTACAGAGAATACTATGCACAACATCGTTACTATATTTATTAGTCTGAATAGCCTTTGGGCCGTTTACTCTTTTCAAACTGCTTCTTGAACTCCATAGCTGTGGGTTGCTGTAATATGGGTTGAGTGAACTGAGAGATATGTCTAACATTCCCCCTCAAAGGAGAGGGTACCAATGAAAGCTTGAGTTTGTTATGTAGAGAAAGAAATCTAGATAAGGAGAATGGCTTAGTTAATAAAACAGCTAACTGATCCTCAAAAGGAACAAAATGAATGGCAAGTGTCTTAGCAAGCACCAAATCACAAACAAAATGAATATCAATCTCGATATGCTTGGTACGGGCAAGAAAAATAGGATTTGAGGCTAAGGCAAATGCACTAATATTATCGCACCAAGTGATAGACGAAGGCTATGAAATTAAGCCAAGTTCACCAAGCAGAGACTATAAGCCAAAGTAGTTTAGAGGCCATGTGAGCAAAGTGAACAATACTCAAACTCGACGCTCCAACGAGTGACAACAAACTGCTTCTTAGAAGACCAAGACACTAAGGAATCGTTGAAGAACACAAAGTATCCACTTGTAGATCTACAATCATCGAGACAACTTGCCCAATTGGCATCTGAATGAGCCACAAGATCAAGACAATTTGTCCTCTTAATGTGTAAGCCAACATCAATGGTTCCTTTAAGATATTAAAGAAGTCTCTTTATAGCATCCCAGTGCAAAAGAGTTGGAGCAAAAAGAAACTGATTGAGCTTGCTAACCACAAATGACACATCAGCCCAAGTGTTTTGCCAAGTATTGAAGAGAACCCATGATTTGAACAATAGTCAAAGGCCGTGGGTAGAGGATTACTATCATAACTAGAGAGTGTCTTTTCTAGAGCCATTGGAGTCTTGCATGAAGAAGAGTTGCTCATATTCCATTTACTAAGAATGGTGGAAATATACTTCCTTTGACTTAAGTAGAAACCAGAAGCATCATAAGTGACTTCAATCCTTAAAAAGTAATGTATGGGTCCCATATCCTTAAGCGAGAACATCTCGTTAAGCTTGGAGATAAATAAACTCATACTTTGTACATTGCTTCTAGTGATAAGGATGTCGTCAACATAGATCAAAATGAGCAAAATCTAACCATGGTTTTGAAAAATGAATAAAGAAGTGTCACTTTTACTATTGTGAAATACTATGATAAAAGAGTGGATTGAAGTTGATCAAACCATGCTCGCGGTGCTTGTTTCAAAGCATAAAGTACTTTTCTTAATCTGCAAACATAACGAGGCTTGTGAGAATTAATGAATCCTTCTAGTTAAATCATGTAAACTGTCTCAATCAACACACCATTAAGGAAGGCATTGTTAATATCAAGTTGCCTTACACTCCAGTTCTTAGAAGCAACTAAAGTGAGCACCACTCAAAAAGTAGACGGTTTAATCACTGGACTATATATTTTACTATAGTCAATTCTAAGTTACTGCAAATATCCTTTCGCAACAAGCCATGCTTTATGCTGATCAATGGTGTTATCTAGCTTGAACTTGGTCTTAAACCCCCATCGACAGCCTACGAGATTGTAATCTAGATGAAAGGAAACTAAATGCCAAGTATGATTGTGGACAAGAGCTGAATACTCATCTGACATAGCCTTTTTCAATAAGTAAGTTGGAGTACGTCATGAATAGATGAAGGTTCTACATATAAATGTTATGGGTCATACTGAGCAACACATATAGTTGTTTTATTTTGAAAATGCCACTCTTGCCACATGTTACCATGGGATGAGTATTAGGCACTGGAAGAGGTCAAGTGTCATTATTGGACTATGCTTGACTAGTGCTAGAAGAAGGAGAAAGTTTATTTGATATAACATCAGAAGAAACCATGGATGCTGATGCTGACATATAAAGCCATTGTTAAGTGAATCAAACTTAAGCTAAGACAAACATGGACTAGCATTATCAAAGAGCATGAATTGTCAATATTGCCCATGTCAACTTTTGTATGTAGAAGTTGTTGAGTACTATCCTTGTTTCAACATGCTTAGAACAGAGCATAGGAGATGGTAGATAAAAAGAATCATTATCATTATTGGTAATACTG